AATACAACCCAACGGAGAATTTAATTGCGCATCACTAGACGCCGCGCTGACGATAGTGAGCCGCCTAGGTCGCGCGCAAACACGAAAAAATTCAAACATTTCACGAGAAAAGGTGACAAAAATCACCCTTTTATGCAAATTTTCGTGGGTTGCAGGTCGAATTCCTGCAACATATAAGTACAACCCGACGGAGAATTTAATTCCGCATCTCTAGACGCCGCGCTAAAGTCTCTGAGGCGCCAAAGTCGCGTGCAAACCCGAAAAATACAAATATTTCACGAAAAAGGGTATAATATTCACCATTTTATGCAAATTTTCGCGGGTTGTAGGTCGAATTCCTGCAACAAATAAATACAACCCGACGGAAAATTTAATTCCGCATCTTTATATGCTACGCTGAAGTTTCTAAACCGCCAAAGTCCCGGGCAAACCTAAAAAATACAAATATTTCACATGCCACGCTGAAGTTTCTAAACCGCCAAAGTCCCGGGCAAACCTAAAAAATACAAATATTTCACGAAAAAGTGTGAATAAATCACCATTCCATGGAAATTTTCGCGGGTTGCAGATTGAATTCCTGCAACAAATAAATACAACCCAACTGAGAATTTAATTCCGCATCTCTAGATGCCACGCTGAAGTTTCGGAACCACCAAAGTCGCGTGCAAATCCGAAAAATAAATATATTTAATGAAAAAGGGTGAAAAAATCACATTTTATGCAAATTTTCGCGGGTTGCAGGTCGAATTCCTGCAACAAATAAATACAACCCAACGGAGAATTTAATTCCGCATCTCTATATGCTACGCTGAAGTTTCTGAGCCGCCAAAGTCGCGTGCAAACCCAAAAAATACAAATATTTCACAAAAAGGGTGAAAAAATCACCATTTTATGCAAATTTTCGCGAGTTGCAGGTGGAATTCCTGCAACAAATAAATACAGCCCAACGGAGAATTTAATTCCGCATCTCTATATGCTATGCTGAAGTTTGTGAGCCGCCAAAGTCGCGTACAAACCCGAAAAAATACATATATGTCCCGAAAAAGGGTAAAAAATCACCATTTTATGCAAATTTATGCCGGTTGCAGGTCAAATTCCTGCAATAATCAAATACAGCCCGAAATAGAATTTAATTCTGCATCTCTAGATGTCACATTGAAGTTTCTGAGTAGCCAAAGTCAGGAGATCAGGAGTGCATCTTAAAAATGCACTCTTGCTCTATCATAAAATCGAAAAATAACTAAAATATGACATTGGGTTCCCAAGATATGTCCTGTTTCCTGTTTCCTGTTTTGGAAAAATCGAAAAAAGGGCAAACTTTGTCATTTCCTTCGTTTTCTATATTACACGCAGAAATTGTCTGATTGACCGTGATATTCGCGATTGAATAAAATAGGCAAAAATTGCAAAATGTCACTTTTTAGCACTTTTAGTCGCGTTTTTCGACCTTTTACTGTAGGAAATATAATTATTTTATATTTTTATCTGATAGAGAATTTTCCAATCTTTCATAATCAATAATTCGTTGGTAGCTATCTCGTTTAGTTTAAGAGATATGAATTTTTGAAAATCGTCGAAAAAAAGTATCAAGCACCCCCCTTGGCAATTTTTTCTTAAGAATTAAAATTTCATATCTCAGATTTCCGTTTTAACTATCCTATCTGATAGAGAATAATCCGTAGATTAAGACGCTGCGATCAGATCCTATTTATCTCTTTTAGTTTACGAGATATTCGCGATTGAATAAAATGAGCAAAAATTGATAAATGTCACTTTTTAGCACTTTTAGTCGCGTTTTTCGACCTTTTACTGTAGGAAATATAATTATTTTATTCTTTTATCTGATATAAAATTTTCCAATCTTTCATAATCAACAATTTGTTGGTAGCTATCGCTTTTAGTTTAAGAGATATTAATTTTTGAAAATCGTCGAATAAAAGTATCAAGCACCCCCCCTTGGCAATTTTTTCTTAAGAATTAAAAGTTCATCTCCGAAATATTTGATTTGAAATATAAACATCAAATGCAAGCAAAAAAACATTTATGCACATTAAACGCACAATTACATGTTAAGAAAACACTGAAGATGCATATTACGACAAAGTCGATTGATGACCGAATATAATATAAACTTTGAAAATAGAAGTCTGATAAAACGAAACTAGCTGCAATCCATCAATAGAGCATGCCGAAACTGCGCACGCAAGGATACGACAGTTCACAATAAGATTCTGTGTCTGCTGCATAAACCCGGCAGGTAAAAGCAATAGATGCGCGAAGCCAACGCGTCGATGCCACGCGACCTTGGGTGCGAATTGCAATAGATGCGCAAAGACAGCGGTGCGTCGATGGCACGCGACCTTGCGCACGAATTGCAATAGACACGGTACCTGTGATAAGAACTAAAGTAAAATGTGCTGCATGCGACAGCGCGACGAGAATCTTACGCGTAGCATCTCGCACGGCAAATGCGATAAGAAAGTGGTTTATACACAAACGCTGATATGATTCAAAACGAATACAATTCTATTTTATGATTTTTAGTTCATGCTAGTGAACTAAAATTTAAATCATGAAATTATGATTTATGATTTGAGTTTTATTGAAGCAAAGAATTCCGTAAAAGATATCAATTTTCTAATTGCAAAAAATCAGGAAAACAGATACTATGTATGATAAAAATTTTACCTACCAGAGTATCGAACACCGCAAATCAAATCCGAGTAGATACTGAAATAAACAAGAAACAAAACATTAGTTATACAATTTCGGACAATGTTGAAATGTATCCGAGTTCCAGAGGAACCCAAACTTAGCCTTAAAAATCTTCTAATTTAGCATAATTATTTAAATAATAATATTTACCAGGTAGAACAGCCGCCTGTCGTGTTCTGCGGAAGACAAAAATGGTTCGCACAACTCCAAAATATTATTTACAATCACACAACATTGCCGGCTGGCATCCGACGGCAACCGATCCCAGATACACGCGCAACGGTAATAAACACACAAGAGTTTGAATTCCGAAGATTACACACGCGATAAATATTTAGCGACTAAAATCCGTCTATTAACACTAAATTCCAACAAATATAACGCGATATGACGAATTTACAACACGAAACATGAATATCCATTTTAGTATTATTTACTTATCGCACACCTACTGGCTTGACAAATACTGCAGCTGCGTGCCGGCTATAATTCAAACAATTGTCAGCTCCACGCCGAGTTAGCTCAGGCGCATAAGATTGAAATATGGTAGGTAGTACGAGAGGGTATAAGCTCAAACAGGTCAATCATTGCGCCATCTGAGGTTACTTTTGAGTACCTCAAGAAAATACAAGGAGTTTCACAAATCCGTCTATTGGCGTCCAACAAATATAACGCGATATGAGGCATGAATACCCATTTTAGTATTAGTGATTGCCTAGGTAGGAGCTGCGTGCCGGCTAAACAACAACTATGCACGCCGACTAGGACGCAGGAATATTTTTAGCTCAAACACGCATCATTGCGCCATCTGAGGTTACTTTTGAGTACCTCAAGAAAATGGTCACGCACTTAAATGGCAGTGGCCGGGTGTCACACGTACACACAACTGCGCATGCGCCACCCTATCTAAACGAATACCAATTTTTACACATAACTCAAAGCTTCAAATGTCGCTAGAATGAATTAATTCAAAATGAATGAACTAAATTTTGTAATTTTTAAATAATTAAATAAACATGAATGTTTCGACTTCCACCTATAAAGCGCCAGTTTTTCCACGGTTTGTAGACACAAAAGTGGTATTTTATATACCGACGACTAAACCGTACATAATATTCATTATAACATAAATAATATGTGGAACACGGTCGATTCACTAACAGGGAAGTATCAAAACAAAATCTTCATTTGTTTTACGCTTCACAATTACAATCTTATATTTTTATGCTTTATTTTTCACATCGTCAAAAGTATTAAATAAATTCTAGCTTACATACAGAATTAATCACAATTTTCACAAACAGAACATGGAAATCAACCAGTACGCAATTATGTATTAGAATAATTAAAATATAATCTTTCTGTTATCATTGACCATCTAGGTTGTTAATTCATTTGTAAATACTGACAATCCTTATTATGGATTTATATCAATCATATCAATTAAAGAATTGTGTTTTTCCACACGTCCCGTCGTTGAGCTGCTTATCGTCCCTCGACTATAAAAGACAAAATTAGAATGATTAGAAATATACAGTACACAAAACAATTTTAACGAAACCATTTATATAATTAAATGTAAACTTACTGTAAGAGCTGAGATCAATTTCTTCCGGTAATTCAGTAATGTTAACATCAAAGCGATCTTGTACTTCATTCAAAATTTTCGCATCGCTCTCTTCTGAGACGAAGGTGATGGCAAGACCCTTTGTACCGAAACGACCAGCACGGGCCACACGATGGAGGTAAGTGTCCGAATCTTCGGGCATGTCATAATTAAACACAATATTGACACGTTCGATATCCATACCGCGGCCGAACAAATTTGTCGCCACCAAAATTCTCTGCAAGAAAATTCGTCAAGTCTTTAATATTTAAATCAAACGGAAAAATCCCTTTAAACTATAGTAATTAATCAGGATAGGCCGAGTTGTACTTCAAGTATGATCAGGTGTCCCTACCTATCAGTGTCATCATTTAATTTATAAAATAATCCAACCACCTGGCCGAGTTTGCTTACCTTCTGAAAATCTTTAAACTGTTGATACCGCGATAATCGTTCCTCTTGGTTCATCCCTCGATGAATACCAATAGCAGGGAAGTTCTGTTCCGTGAGCAACTGAGCGAGGGCGACACATCTCTGAACGGATTTGACGAAGATCACAACCTTGGACACAACATTTTTGTAAACATTTGCATATTTATCGAAATTGCAGTCAAACAGAATTTACATTTGATCAGTGAGAGAGTTCGAAATCATTAGGATCAAAGTACGTGTTTGATTTTTATCATCATAAAGTTCTTACTGCAGTGTTATCTCTAATAAAGCTTGTAACTTACTTGGTTGAATTCAAGCACATCTAATAGCTCAAACAATTTTTTATTTTTCTCATTTTCCTTCAGCTTAACATAGTGCTGCTGCAAACCGTGCAGGGTCAGCTTGGCCTCGTCGTCGACATAAACTTCCATCGGCTAAAACAGATTCACATTGAAACATACAGATGTCCTATAATCAAGAAGTTGTTTTCGGGTATAGTCCAAAGTGGTCAGAAATTCTAGGCCATCATAGCGCACGAAGGCACTCTGGTGGAAACCGCGAAAGAATTAAATTGTTCATCATAACAGTCGCCGAAACCAAAACACAAAATGTTTACAACGATAACAAATTTAGACAGTTGAAACAAAACTAGGCAATTTGATTGTGTCACATCATCAATTGTACATACAGTTCTAGCTGAATACAATGGGAAGGAGGACACAAATGGCAATTCCGTTGACACGAATCGCCGCTTTCCTCCCAAACTTAAGTTGGAATACCAAGCATGACGACGAAATAAAGATGTGTTGATACAGCCAAAATTGTAACCCCTGTACTCTGTGAGAGTGTGTAATTGTAAGATTCTTTTGTGATTCTGTTCGCAAATTTTGTAGCACTGTAGCTCAGCCAAGATTGCGCGCAATTTGCGTCGTGTAATCGCGACACCCAGAAACGGATAACAACAGCCCCCAAATAATCTTCAGCGTTGAATCCATCCTTTCTTCTTAGCCCAGGCCCAACCCCATTTTCCTACTCGTAGGGCTACAGTGCTCTAAATGTTTCGACGTGCCCGATGCACGTGTGTGCGTGATTCGATAAGCGCGCGACGTTAAAGTTTTCAAGTCGTCCACGATTCAGGTTTCGCTTAGATAACGTATCGCAACCATTGCGTGGTTCGCCCAAATGTACTTAATGAAAATTCAATTACATCTTGCATAAATTTCTTGCAGACGGGCCGAATGTCTTTGCTGAGAGTGGCGCTGAACATCATAACTTGTTTGCCATGTGGTGTGTTCCGGTATATTTCTTGAACGTCGCGTCGCATATCTGAAGTTAAACAAAAACTGTTCTCATCTTCGTAATCCAAAAGATCCTCGTTATCAGCCATGTTGTTTGTTATAAGTGTTTGACTGGAAATTTGATGACGGTTATATTCTACCGCTCAGATTGCAACGTACACGAATAATCGATAATTGCGTCGTAAACAAACAACTTGAAATGACGCATAATTTCGAGTTAAAATATTATGAAATAAATTATGAAATTTAGTGATAAGTCATAATCCTAACGCATTAACTTTGAGTGAATTACTCAAATGAATCACCAAAAATGAACGGCATTTTAATAATGAATTTACGCATCCAATGTTTCATATTGTGAAATAACAGGGGCAGAGAGATCTATATAATATAGGGCTATGATTATACTTAAAATGAACAACGTCACATGCCGTTTAGCTGAACAGCAAAAACGCGTTTCATTTACAAGATTATTGAAGATATCACTTACCTAACAGAAACGATGCACCACCGAACACTGACGCTAGCGGAACAGAGAATGCGAATGATGGCGCCGGTTTGTAAGCCAAGCGGGCGGATGTTTTGCCGGCGTGTGAGGGCGCTGCGAGCACATCCGACCAGTTGTACCAACCCAAAATTTAAAAACGTTGCAACGTTGCCTTGATTTAAAACAACAAATAACTGCCATAGTTTCAAAAGCTTAGTTAACACAAGGATATTACACTCATCTATTTCTATAAATACACTTCCCTTGGTGAATATATTTATAAGAAATATTGAGTGCATACTGACAAATGCAATTTTAATATTGATTATATAACATTTTATATACTTAGCAATCTATAAATTTGTAAAATGCATCTGATTGTTTGTTTACGTCTGTCAAATTCATTCACTGGAGCTCGCCGGCTGTGGCCAGAAAAATAGCATCAGTCCTATCAGTCGCTCCTAAATTACCGATTAAAATCCAGACACACTGATGCAGTCTGTGCAATAAAGCTTAGAATAAGTAATCATAATTAAACAATACCCTGACATTCTTAATGATGCATTGATTCAACAACTCAGCGAGTAATCGTTCGTGTTTCTATAATCAATATTAGTGTATTCTGCGTCCTGCAAAGCTAAAAATGTCTGAGGCATCACAAACAGCTGCTTCCACAGCTGAAACCTCTGGAGCCCCAGCAAAAATTGAACCATCAAGACAGTCTAATTTACGCCGAATTCAACAGATTAAACAAGCTGTGCTTAATTTTCCACACAGTAAAAAGTTGCTCAAATTGTCAATTTACTCTAAATGTCAGGTAACACAACATAATTTATTTAAAAACAATTATATCTACTTGATTGTTGAATATTTTCCATAGGCAGAGGGATGTTTATGCAATGGATGGAAAAAGAAAGATGCAACTATTGTCACACCAACATTTTCGGATCCATGTAAATGTGACCACTTATTAGGTAGATAAAATCATAATATTATAAGCAAAACATTAATATTTACTTTGTAGAAATGCACATAACTCATCTAAGAGAAAAAACAGACCAAGAATTGAATCATCTATTGAGAATGGTTGTTGATGTTGAGCAAATGTACACAACCATGACCAGAGAAGAGAATCCAGACACAATCAAAGTTTACAGTTATTTGTTCAATGTAACTATTTACACAAATAATATAATGAATAATAAGTTAAACCACACTTGTTTTAGATACTCTGCAAGTGTATTCTCACATTTGACACCCCAGTGGTTGAAGGTCCATTGGGTCAACCACCATTTGAGAAAATTTCAATCTGCAAGGCTGTTACAAACCTATTACTCTATAAATTCTCACATCTTAGCCATATTGAATGGGGAACTATGTCTGAGCTTGCCAAATTGTTTCTGCATTGTTTAAACACTTGGAGTTTCCCTGCGCCATGCAATCAGAGGCAAAGAGCTACTCAAGAAGAAGCTTCCATCTATAAAATTGCATACACTAGGTATTTTTATGATGATTATGAATATGTATGTGTTATAATATTAAAATTTGTGTTTATGTTTGTAGATGGCTTGTGTTTTGTCATGTTCCTGCGTTTTGTGACTCGCTGAAACACTACGATACAACCATGGTGTTTGGGCGGTCTTTATTACATGCAGTTTTTAAATATGTGCGAAAACAAATCTTGGATAGATTTCACATGGAAAGGGAAAGAATGGCGGTTGATCGAAGAGTGATATTGACGCATTTTCCTGCTTTTTTAAATACTTTGGAAGCAGAAGTATATGCGCCTAGCTCACCAATTTGGGATCCGGAATTTAAACCACCGCCATCACCGTATTCACAACACTTTTTTGATCTGAATAAACGCAGTAAAAGTAATTTATTCCCAACTTAATCATATTAATGATTATAATTAAACAATTTCTATGTTTTAGAGAATAGTATTAATTTACTCAAGCGCAGTGATCCGAATGTAGAAGGATCAAACACCGAAAATGTGAATTCACCTATCAGAGAACCGAAAAGGAGAAAAATCGTTGAAGATGCGAATGATATCAGCACGGAAACACTAAAAGAGATTATGAAGACGATAGATGACCCAAATTACATGACTGGACCTGATGTAAATTAAAAAACTTATATTTATTATAATTTATTGCTTTTTTGTTATTTTGGTAGATGGTTTTTGCGGAAGAGACTCAAGCCCGTGATGAAGTCGCAAAACAAGAAGAGAAAAGGAAAATAATTGAGTTTCACATCGTGGGCAACAGCTTAACGGAACCAGTATCAAAGCAAACAATGTTGTGGTTGATAGGATTACAAAATGTCGTATCACAACAGTTGCCGCGCATGCCAAAAGCTTATGTTACACAATTCATATTTGATCCGTAAATATTTCATAACATGCTTAAAAATAGAATATTTATTGTTTGTGATATTCACAGGAAACATCGAACGTTAGCTTTAATCAAGGAAAATCAACCAATCGGTGGAATTTGTTTCCGCACATTTCCCACGCAAGGATTCAGCGAAATTGTCTTCTGCGCCGTCTCACTGCCTGAACAAGTCAGAGGTTACGGCACGCATTTAATGAATCACTTAAAAGATTATCACATTCGCAAGAATATCCTACACTTTTTAACCTATGCTGATAAAGACGCAATCGGATACTTTGAGAAGCAAGGTTTTTCTACGGATATTAAACTATCGAAGTTAACTTATCAAGGATACATTAAAGATTATGAAAACGCGACACCTATGCACTGCGAATTGAATCCTCGAATAATTTATACTCAAGTAACGTCTGTGGTGCGTAGACAACGCGATATATTCAAACATCTCATTCATCATCAACAGAAAAACGTTACTAAAGTATATCCGGGACTAACCTTTTTCAAAGAAGGCGTGCATTCAATTCCTGTTGAGTCTTTACCGGGAATACAAGAAACCGGATGGAAAGCAGCACCGAGAGCCACCAGAGGCGGTGCACAACTTGAAGAATCACAAGACTTTGAGACCCTGACGTCCATGCTGAAAACTGTGTTGAATTGTATAAAAAACCACGAAGATTCATGGGCGTTCAAGTCTCCTGTGGATAAAAATACTGTTCCTGATTATTATGATCACATTAAATATCCTATGGGTATGATTTTATTGTTTAAATTAAAATTAATATTGAAAAATGTTTTAATTGTTTTTACAGATTTGAAAATAATGACTGATCGACTTAAGAATAAATACTACGTGAGCCGGCGACTTTTTATCGCAGATATGATGCGTATTTTCACCAATTGCAAATTTTACAACACACCAGAAACAGTTTACTATCAAAGCGCTGTTAATCTTCAGCAATATTTTCAAACGAAGATGAAAGAACTCGGATTATGGGATAAATAGATTAAAGTTAATTATAATGTATTTATATAACTTATTGAAACATATTTTATATGAAATCAAAGTGGTTTTGTCTGAGAAATGCAACTATGTGAAATGAAAAATAAATAAATAAAAAAACAATGAATTTTTTACTTATTTTACTGCAACCCGAACTACAAAAATACTGTTGTAATATGTGAAAGAATAAAATTTCGCACTTCAAATAACTTGCACAATTGCTTTTCGTATGAAACATTACATTTTGCAATTGTAACGAATCGTATTCAAATATTTTATTATTCTTGAGCTCAACCCTTGCCAATATGTCGATTTTTATTTATTGGTTCAATAATTCACGCATTATCTGCAGTAAAACGACAAAAGCAATAAAACGCAATAAATGTAGAAAACAGCAACCCTTTCAACGCTTCATTATGCCGGGTACGCACGTATCAAATTGTAAATTCCCCAATTTGGCAAACGTAAACGCAAACCCAAAAGAAAAGAAAAAACTTGCATTTTTTAGGGTTCTTCCCCTAGGGTAAAATCATAAATTAATAAATCTTTCGGTAAATACTAGTGTGATTGACAGTTAAATAATAATAAGTCCTGCAGAAATCGAAAACATATTTAAGTAAATTTGCGATTGTTATCTGACATGTTAAATCTAATACCTGGCGTTGTAGTTTAGTGAACCTACATGTAAGCAAATATAAATAGTATAAAACATATGTAGAATGCAAATGTTTGCTCATATTGTCAGTCAGGTGATGATATTCCTGTTTTTCTTTTTATTTTGTTGCATTTTGTTGATTATTAATGCAAAGTAAGAGTTTATTCTTTTGTAAATGCATGTAATTCATAAGCTTTTAGGATTATGGCATTATTTCATGCATCACTACTAATAACCAAAGATTATCAGATTAGATTACCAAATATTTAGTAATAATTTGTCAAAAATCACAAAATTTTGACATTGTTTGAATATTTTTAAACATATTTTCTATAAAAGTAAAATTCTTGTTTATTTGTAAGAATTTAACAATGTAAGTAACAAATTCACGTCAATTGTGAAGTACTCCTACCTCGAGGTATGTACACGCACCGCTTTCTCCCTAAACTACGTACGTTAGGGCCCTTTAAACCGCCAGCACCCGTTGGTACTGGAAGGGGACCAGAAACGCTATAAATCCAAGCACCCCATGACCGCGAGCCCTAGTTGCAAAAAAGCGGCCGGCCTCTCTTGTCCCAATGCATGTACACACTAAACGAGTAAAGTGAATCGACGGCATGTCTCTGGTACGCCACAACAACTCCTACGAGATGTCTTCGTATGACGACAGCTCCGACTCGGGCTTCGAGATGTCCTTCGTCTCCAAATCGGAAACCATCACGGAATATGATCATGGCAGTGACTTCATCGACTTTGACATGGACCAATCACCTCAGGATCGGTTACTAAACACTCCAAGGAAACAATTACTCTATGAGAGATTCAGCAGTGCTTTTCACAAAGGTGCCAATCCAGAGGAATATGCTTCGGACGTACAGGTAACACCTCCACAGAATTGGGGGTATGAAGAGTTTAATAAACCAAATATACCACAGACAGAGGTAAATCGTAATTTGTTTCCTGGAGAGCCTACAGAAGAAGATTTTCAATGTTTAAATGCAAATATGACATCAACACCTCAAAAGTCTTCTTCTAGAACTGAAAAAACTGATAAAACTGAACAAAAACCAAAGAGGCGCTATGCAACTGGCAGAAACCGCGTATCAAGAGCAAAAAGCCCTTCGCAAATCATGAAAATAAAACGCACAAGACGTATGAAAGCAAACGATCGTGAACGTAACCGAATGCACATGCTAAACGAAGCTTTAGACAAACTCCGAATGGTCCTACCGGCATTCCCCGAAGACACAAAATTAACCAAAATAGAAACACTGCGATTTGCACACAATTACATCAACGCCCTGGGAGAAGCATCCAAAGACATCGATAAGTATTCCAATGGTGATAATCTAATCATACAAGTTGGTAATGTCACCGTGGCCATCAATAAAGACGGCAACAAAATCACTCAGGACCAAAATCACTCGTCTCATCAGTATTTCAGCACGGCGGTTGTGACGAGCGGAAGCATCACCAACGCGAGTTTCATGCAGGATTACAACGAGCCGAATCATTTAAAGTACAATTCGTATTCGTCCTCGTCGCCAATGATGGACGATCTGTATGAATCTCCGGCGAAGGCAACAAAGTATGACTATCAGTGTGCTAATCCTAACTATGAGAATTATTACCATCCTAGTCATCATAGTCATCATAGTCAGCATCATGGCGGCCAGGATTACTACAACTATGACAAGTTTCAACATTATAATAACAATGCGATGTTTGAGTGCTTGTAATATGAGTAAGTGTGTTGTAAACGATGATATTGTGCAAAATGATGGATCGATGCTAGTCAATATGCAATGTGAATGAATCTACATAACAATAGGAGTATAAATTGAATATTTAGAATTTGCAGATGGAAATTTATTAAAATTTAACGAATTTATATGAAAAATATCAAAAGAAAACAAAAAATACGAAGTTTTAATGAAAAAATCGGAAATAGGTTAAATTTTCATCAAAATGGCGGATTTTTTGCAAGTTTTACATGACAATATTGATTTTAATTGCTATATCTAAAATGGGCAGACGTAAATTTAACCAAAATTTAACATATTTCCTTAATTAACATTCAATTGAAGACCAAAAATACAAAATTTTTCTATTTTTTGCTTTCGTTTGATGATAAAACTAATAAAATTGGAAATAGGTTAAATTTTCATCAAAATGGCGGATTTTTGCAAGTTTTACATGACAATAGTGATGTAAATTGTTATATCTAATATTTGTAGATGAAAATTTACCAAAATTTAACGTATTTCCTTGATAAACATTCATTAAAAGACAAAAACACTAAATTTTACAATTTTTGCTTTCTTTTGATGATAAAACTTAAAAAATAAAAATGGGTTAAATTTTAATCGAAATGGCTGACATTTCTGCAAATTTTACATATACCATCATATTAAAGATGCCTTTTCAAACGCCTTGTATACAAACAAAGATAAAAAGATGTATTTTATAAATAATTACAAATTTTTCTTCGTGTAACGTCGAAAAATACTTTAATTTCTAGCAATTATGAGCTAGAATATTTTTTCAAAGACATGACATCTATGGTAACATTTGAAATATTGTTGTAATTATGATCCCAACATCCCTACAAATTGCAATGCAAATTTCTATAACTTAAGCACGATTTTTCAGCTAATTTGTTGGGGTGCACGTTGCGTTACTACAAAATCATTTAAACATAACACAAGTGAATTCAACATCGCGACGCGGAATTCATATTTAGACTTCAGGAAATATTTACCGACATTTTTACAAGAGTAATTGAGTTTATAACCAATTTACAAAGATTAAACAGATGCCAATTTTTTGTTCCTCGATGTACCATAAAGAATTTAATAATGTATATCAATGTCAATAAAATAGAAATTTTTTGATCATCTTAACGCAACCGAATAAAACGATTCCTACACAAATAAACCCGAAATCTAGATTTAAACTTGTGCTACAAACCAGGATAGCCCTGTTTATTATTCCTCATAATTACGAATTTGTGTTTGTGTTAAATAATCGCAACTAAAAAGATGCTTTATTTAACTTGACTCTATTTACTTGATGTTTCAAAATGCGTAGCAGGCAAACAACGCAGTTGGAAAACAAATTATTCACCTATGATTTTCCACGCTTATCCAAATAAACTTTATAATATCTTTGAAATGAGCAAGTAGTGAATATCTAGGTCATTTTTACTTATTCATCACTGTTTATTACCGAACAACAAAATTTTTAGAATAATTCTTTAAAATAGAAAATATAACTCACCAACTGTTTTGATAATCTGATAATCATCAATATCATACGCATCCTTATCATCTTCCGAGTATTCTTCTGTGGTGTGGGATGAATTCAAGCTGTCTGTGCTCTCTTGACGCGAGCGGTATTTCTCCGTGATTTTCGACATGTTTGAATATTTATTATTTTTTAAATTAACTTGTCAGTCAGGCCAAACTGCCAAAAACTTATAAAGTCACCAGAAAGTAATTTCTGGTTTCTCTCCGCACAACAAATTCAAATCAGAATATGTAATTAATGTGTAGTTCTTTCGGCACACATAGAAATGTGTTTAAAAGCGCTTCTGGCTTCTTGAGATGGTCGCGGCGCGCGAAGAAAGTGATCGCCGGTGTCTGCCAGCGAGCGCGAGTCGCGGACTAACTTTGTGTGTTGTCAAAGCGCGCCGCGCCGGTGATGCGCGCTTTCCCACTTCTCTATCAACTCGCGGGTCTTCAACTTTTATCGCTAACCGCGACTCGCGAGGTGAGCCGTGCTAAACTATGTCCGGAACTTGCGGAAAACTATCAACAGTGAAATAACTGTTCATTGGTAGTTTACTGTTGTGAAATGTACAAATATTTATTTTAAAAGTAGTTAAACGTCTTTTTTTCTGTAAATTATGAAGAAATTGGAATAAAATCATTAATTCAGTGATAATTGTGAGTGTGATACAAAAAGAACGAAGTAAAACAAAAATAGTTGCAATTAAATTGCAAATATGGTACACGTGTCGTCCTCTAGCGGTTGTAAAATCAACTTTTTGAATCCTTTTACTTATAAATTATGAGTATTTTAGCGGCTTTTTAACTAAAATTTATACAGAAATCGCTGTACAATCATTAATTCAGTGTTAATTTTTAATATGGCGTGAAAAGAACAAAGTTAAACAAAACTTGTAACAATTTAATTGTTATTTTGATACACATATCGACATCTGGCGGTAGAAAAAGCAACTACCTATGCTCTTTTAATATTTGCTATAGAAATGGACGTAAATTCAGAATTTTGCAACCAAATGAACAAATAAATCTAAAATAAAAACACACACAACTTATTTCTACTCTACTTTTGCTCTAGAAACAATAAAAATACAAAATTCTAACATTACAAGCTCAAATAACAAAGAATGAAAACTAGTTTTCCTTGGGAATAAGATCACAACATCAAAGTTATATGTTGTTGCATAACTAAACCGAAAAACACTATGTTTTATTAAATTGTATAAATGTCGCAACATGTGTTGTTGTAAATTCCCATTCTCGATGTCTGCTTCGCCCAATAAAGATCCCACTGATGATAAATACCGTTAAAGTCTTTGAAATAAATTTTAATTGATCGTTGTCCCTGCAATTATTTAACAATTACCGCATTTTATCGCAATCCATTCATGTTTATTCTCGTAATACGAATTGTTATATAATTACATCAGCATTGATGTTACATTGATATACGATTAAAAAATTATCCAAAGCCGCCACCGCCAAGAGTGAGCAACAATTTGCTGCCAATGCGATCATCGTCTATGCCGTCGATAACAATGCCACCTGTAATGGCCGCCGCGGCGGAGGGAAGTTGATTGGGGGCGCTCTTGTGCAATTTCGGCTGGAAGCCATTGTGATCGGCGATGTAAGTCACCGTGTAGCGGATTCCATCCGGAGCTACGTAGGAGTAGTAGCCTTTTACGTCGGAATAACCTGTGTCGAATGTTATCGCCTCGAAGTCGCCGGTTTCTGCACGGGTTATACCGTTACTTGTTTCAAACCTCAATGAAAACAAAAAAAGTTAATAACTTCGTAGAAAAGATTAAGTTTAGCATAGTAAACAATTTACTTGTATTTATAGTTGTTTTGGTAATCACGTTCATTTTCGCTGAATGTAATTGTGGCAGTTTTATCGCTGTCTTCATTGGTGTTAAGCGCATTTACATTTTTAGCAGATTCAGGCAGTGATTCTGGTCTTCCACACACTAATGATAGAATTGTAACAAGCGTAAATACCTGTAAGCATGTAATAATCACTCAATTTCAATGTCATGCTTTATAATTCATTTTATAGCCGAGAGGCAAACGAAAAAAATTAAATGTTACTTAAGTTAATTAGATTTTATCATGTAAAGCAATTTATAACAGAATCTGATTAATTGAAAACCTGATTTTCATTTTTTTATGTTTCACGCAGCAGAAATCACGTCATTATTCATGAAAATATTTAAACAGAGAATCATTCATATAATTTCAATTAATTATGTAAGTAACTACTTAACTGTAAATAACTAAATAAACTTGACACAATTTAATTGGAAATTACACGTTTTATAATGTATTATGATGATGCTTTACCTGAAGTGTGGGAAATGCCATTGTTTGTTTTTGAACACTTTTAATAAACTCGCAGACAACTCTGCACGAAATCCGAAACGCAACTGAATTAATCTTGGCGTTCGCAGAGATTTAAACCGATTTATGCGCGTGTTACGACCGTTCTACGCGACTTTTGTATTCAACTATTGAGCGTGCTGCGATTTTTTCGAAAAGGTAACATGTTAGCATTGAAAGACGCGAAGATGAGTATAATCTCAAGCGTAATATCACGTCATTCGTGTGTAGTGCATCTTATATACTTAAGAAAATTCTCACGCAATGTTAAGGCTTGTTGTATTGGTCAGTTTAGTGTAATGCTAAGCGAAAAACGCACGTTTCTTGGAAAATTTCAAGGTAAAGTAACTTAATTGTGAAGTTTATTTGAAATTGCTTCAAGGGATAACTCTGCCATCTATCGGAGTTTATATGAACTTATAATGTTTGAATTGATGTAAAGCTACAACCTCACAAGTAATTTTAATCAATATTTATGCATGAATATTAATAGATATTGTTATTTATGATGTATTTTAATATATAAAATAATTATTTCTACCTTTAACATGTTTTATTATCCGTAAATATTGTTTAATTCAGATTGCGACATATTACAAAATATACGTGTATATTATGCCTAACATGTTAATAAACTAATAACAGCTGAGTATTCGCTGTTTTCTGTTTCTGATGTCATTGTGATTAGGATGTGATGAGGTATTTCCATGATGCGTAGTTGTATCAGCCTGGAAAAGCAAAACAAGAGCGCGAAGACGTTGATACTATAAATAGCATAAAGCCACATCGTCTTGCACACGCCAAAATGGACGATAACATTCTCACAACCCTGAAATTACTTATTATTGGTGAATCTGGTGTTGGTAAATCAAGGTAAGGAATCAGTCTTTGTTAAATCAATTGATGCCAAATATAAACTTCATTCATTATAGTTTATTGCTGAGATTCACTGAGGATAATTTCGACCCAGATCAGACATTGACTATTGGAGTTGACTTCAAGACAAAGAAGTTGGATATTGATGGCAGTATAATAAAACTAGCTATTTGGGACACTGCTGGACAGGAGCGCTTCAGAACTCTCACACCTTCTTATTATAGAGATGCACAGGGTGCAATATTAGTTTATGATGTTAATAATGCAGCCAGTTTTACTAAGCTGGAGAATTGGCTGAATGAATTGGACACATACTCGACAAGGTCAAATATAGTCAAAATGATTGTTGGAAATAAAATTGACATGGTTTGTTATATAAAAATAGATAAACTATGTATAATATATGCCTGATAATATTATTTACAGAATAATAGGGAGGTAAGCAGAGAAGAAGGATTGAAATTTGCTAGGAAACATCAAACATTGTTTATTGAAGCCAGTGCTAAGACAAAAGATGGTGTTGAATCTGCATTTGATGAATTAGTTCAAAAGGTTGATATTTTTGGGTTTTTCTTTAGTTTATACTAACTATAAATGATTTCAGATTATTCAAACTCCTGGTTTATGGGAATCATACTCTGGTGGCATCACAATTGGAGAAAACAAAGAACATTATGATCAGGCTGGATGTACTGGATATTGTAGTTTATAATTTAGTATATTCTCTTCTGTAATATAATGTACCAATTAATTGTAATGGATATTGTGCTTGTGAATACTGTAAGGGCTGTTGATTAACTAAATACTAATTAATATAGACTTCAAATTAAATTTTGTTTAGTTTTCTTTATGTTTTCGTGTTAATATGGAATATTATAAACAAGAATATTGAAAAATGGCGTGTTATTCATGTTATTTTATTTCTTCGATATTTTGATTGTGATTATCATGGAAACTAAAAGCGATAGAACAAAACGGATTGAAAAATCCGAATCCTCGTTGAATTCTATATAAAATAAAGGCTCGTGGTATGTTCTTATCCCTGTCGTCTAATAATTACGCCACTTTTATTCCATAAAAATGTTATTCAAGGATTTAATGATAATTATAGTTATATAAATCGACTCGAGATGGCGCTGCAATGCACTTTGTGGCATATAATTCATGAGAATCAGAATGTACGTAACTTTTTATTCCATAAAAATGTTATTCAAGAATTTAATGATAATTATAGTTATATAAATCGACGCGAGATGGCGCTGCAATGCACTTTGCGTTATAAAATTCACGAGAAACCGTGACTACACGCAACTACAATTCAAGTCAGCCGCACGTGAATATCTGATAAATCGGATGCGTTGCTGATAAAATTGACTGGTTTTACTTGTCAACATTGAAACATATTGATATTATAAACACAGACTCTAAACTTGTTGCTATTTTATCGATTTATGAGTTGTAAGTTATTTATTGGTGTCAATTGCTTATCAAATCCTCAATTCTATCAATTTGTCCATTGTTTAATTGCCTAATCCACACAACAGCCAGATTATGATGAAATTTATTACTTTTCCAATATATTTGTTAATAAATTTGATAGTATCATATAAACCAGTACAAAAATAAGTTTCCATACACTATGCCGGTAGTTAAAGTATACTTTTGCATATGATTATGATTATCACCACCATAAATTTGCGTTTTCTACGCTTTCCTCTGCAAACAACAAAAAACTAACAAGCTAATTCAGTCGTAATTTCAATCAAACCACTACTGTATACTTTAGACGACTAATGTACAATTTCCTGTGGTAATCACGTCGCGCGTCCTCGCGACCACATTCAAGAGTGTCTTGGGTTTCTTGGGTGTCTTCGGGCAGGAGGTGAGACGCGTTACCACACATCCAACCAACCCGACCCCACAGCGCACACCGACGACGAAGAAGTTCAGACGCGCCGCAGTCGATCGTTCGGTCAGTCAGTCAGGTCTTCCTTCGGCGCCCGCGTTGTCTATTCACCTACTCGATGGCACACTTGGCATACGCGACGCGTACGATTGTTTAGTCGCATCCGACGACCAAAACGCGATCGCTGGACAACGCACACAGAGACAATATAAATACAGTTACGAATTTAATATTCTACGCTTCAAAGAGTTGACGAATCAGTTGGGAACAATACCCACAGAGTGCCGAATCAAATATTTAGTGTCTACGAATATTTTATTAGTGATATTGTTTGAAATTTATTTAAAAAAAATGGATCTGCGTGTGAATAAGTTTAAGTTACAGTTATCGGTGAGTAGAATTTGTTTTCTGATTCTGAGTCTTCAATTAGCGAGAAATGCGTGGTAGATAAATTTAAATATTTGCCCCTTGCCCACATTCGTTGCCGGAGTACAGTTAGGTGTGGAGGTCAATGCTCACCTTACATATCGACGCCGGTGTGCGAGTGTGCGATGATGTGTGTTCCATCCTCAAAGCTGAACAGGTGGAACCTGCGTCTGCCGAGTCTTCACATACTTCACATTCATGATACAGGCTGTTAAGTATCAAAATTAGGCGATTTTATGACTAAAACCTATAAATTTAAAGACAAAAATTGAAATAAATACGCGCGTGTGACCGATGTAGTCCAATGTCGTGTGCCGCGCGCGAAGAACAAACATTCTAACTGTATATCAGAATTTACAGTACCGCGCCGACATAGAGAAGTCATCATGCATTATGTGACCGGCCGTATCACAAGAGAATACACCTCGTCTCATTCTTCTTCTTTTTCTTCAATCGGGGTACCCGGCGAGGTCTTTGTGTCGGTCACGCCGTGATCTTCAATCTCACGATCTAGAATCTGCAATTATGAGTTATGATACAAATGAGTGACGCGTACCGCACGCTGCACGTATTATCTACTTTGTTCGCCATCGAAAAACTTTCAACACGCTAACCCATTTTGCACTCATTGATGGTGCTGTGTGACTCAAGTGCAATCCGTGTTCTTCCGCGCTCTCACGATGTGTGTTTTCACGACTTGTTTCCTTTGCCAATTACACACGCACGCAATCATTCAACGGTTTTGTTAAATACTTGTTGCAGGTCTTTGTTACAATCACAGTTTTGTCGTTATCGCCTGTGGTGGAAGGAAAAACAAAATGCGAAGGTGGTGATGGGTTGAAATATCTTTGGGGCGACGCGTTGACAGATTCAGCTGATTGCCTTGGACCCAATCAACAGCCCTACCCCAGGTAGGTGGGTTTTACCCATTTTAATTCATGCTAAGCATAGAATATGTAAATGTTTATTCTTTGGGGTTTAGCGCAGCGATAGCGCGCTCGTTTCGCTCGTCGAGTATATGGACAGGAAGCGCACGTACGGGTCGCGTGAAGAGTCATACCATCGACCCAGAATTGACCCGGAAAGCACTGTTAGCAGCTCATGAACGTAACATGGGTGACACACACACGCCCACATTATCAAGAACTGGTAAATACCTTTGAATAAACCCAAATTTGAAAAAAATTTTTTGAAATTTTTGAAATTTAGGAAGGGCCAGTTCTTCAGCATCAGTGCCCACATGCACATCAACACCATCGAGGCTTTGCAGAACGCGTTACAACACCACAGCGCCCATGTATGGTGTTTCGCTCACCTCCGGCCAACCGGTGACCATTGTGCAGAAGTTCCCCGACTTATTGCAACAAGTTGTATTCGAGGTGTGCGAGAGCAGCGAGTGTGATGTGGTGCGTGGCGAATGCACGCAAACATACGTACCGTACCTCTTCCTGGTGATACCCCTGGGTCCCGTAACGCTCACCGGGCAGGATTACGTGCTGGTGGAGAGCGGTTGTGTCTGTCGGCCGAAAAACTCAGCGCAGGTCAACAGTGACGCCGGCGGAGCCATTGCATCAATCTCCAGTCGACCATAGCGTAGCCCCAACTGTACTTTGGATTTGAAACCACAGGGAGCGCCACACATCCCATATCCACTTCTGTCGCAGCATAATATCTTTAACTTATTTTGATTATTTTGTATATTTATTATTTTGTTTATTTATGTAGGCGACTATCGACGACAACGAAGCTTCTTTATAACCAGAGGCTGTATCAATATGTATCGAATATAATGTGATTTCAACACTCAATCATTCAATCTCCTGCGCATGGAGATATTTAGAAATTAGCTACATTTTGTTATGTTTGATATAAATTTTGTAATTATCATCGAATCGATAACAAAAGACTTGTGAGAATGTATTCGAAGAGACAAAATATATTATTACTAGCCATGTCATCATTTTATTGATTTGGGTAATACCTATTTATTATCTTATCGGAAATAATCGAGAGGATCAAAAACATGCTTAAAATGAACACGGCGACGATTTATTTACTCAGTTTCGTACAAGTTTTGCGTTCATCATGGCAAAATTGATTTGGATCTTTGTTTTGGTGGTGTCTGGTTGTTTGGCCAGCAATGACAACAACAATATCTGTAAGTATTTTGTTAAAGATTATTTGCCAAACAAAGTGTAATTTTTTATATTGTAGCTGGTGACTCAAATAGAGACTTTGTAGAAGAAACGATAAAAGGTCAAATTGTGAAGAAGATTGAGGCACTGCTGCCATTGTTGGAGGCGATTGACGGTTCACCAATCATTGATGACGTGGACATACCTTTAGAAAACATCGGCGAACTTACAATCAACAGTCTCTTATTAAATGGAATCAGCAAGCTCGAGTATGATATAACAAATGTGGTTGTAATCAATGGTATTAATAATTTCACTGCGGATATTGAATTGTCCTGGACTGGCGAGAACACATTGGAAATTGAATATAACCATAATCTAGATCTCACTGATCCCAATTCAGAATTATCATGGTTAGCAGGCAATAGTGGCTTGGATTTGCTTATCAAAGATACCACCATTATTCTCAGCGTTACCATGGAATACATAACTCAATTGAAAGCGTTGGAAATTGACATAAAAATAGGCAAAGATACAGAGGTACCGTTTAATTAATTATTATTATAAATAATCATTTATCATAAATGTGTACTTTTCATTTAATTCACAGTTTAAACGCTTACAACTTGGTACTATCGATCTGACTGAATCGGTAAATGGTTTACTTCATAATCAGGACATTCAAGACATAATTATTGCTGTAATCAATGAACTCATTCAATCCTTGTTGGGCACAGAGAAGCTGAGTACTGAAAATTTCGTGCCATTGGTTTCGGCCAAATTTAACCAACATGGGAGTGGAATAATAAAGGATTTGTTGATATTGACACATCGTTTGCGGGTTCTATAAAGTTTCTTTTAAATATATTTAATTTTCTGTAATTGTACTTGGTACAAATGAGATTGATTAATCAATAAAAAGTGACTTGTTATCAATTCCAGAATTATCTGAATTATCTTACTTTGGTGCCAAAGTCCTAAGTACAAAACATGTTCAAGGAACAAAATTTCTAATCTATACGATCAAAATTAATCTCAAAAACTGAAAAATGTAAACAATTTTATTTTGCTTTAATTATAGGTTTTTCACGTATTTTATACACCAAAAGTGGTACTTTATATACGAACGGCCAAGCCGTGAGTAATATCCATTATCTACGGGCATTATGTACGGGATGGAGCTTGCGCCTGCGCATTTATCTACGACGTCATCAAACACGTCAAAGGAGGCGCTGCTGCTGCACGTATCAGTAGTATGGTATCATAACCTTACATATTTTAATAGTGTGCGACCAAATTTGAATGATTTGAAATAAAAAAGTTCAAATACAAAAACTAAACCTAGAAATAAAGTAGAAATAGAAAAAATAGCGTGAGTATCACGTCGCTAAACGTTGTTAAACACTCGATTGATTAAACGCTTGCTCTTAATCATTCTCATAACAAAAACTGCTGTTAAACCACTTGATACTTAATACACTATTATAGTCCACGTATTAATAATGCGTGTTAGTAAGTCTTTTAAAAAAATTTATTTATAATTTATTGCATTTATTTAATCGACAATGGACATCTATCCAGAATGGCATTAATAATATCCCCAATATCGCGCTGTTTGACACCTTGACTGCCATTGACTAGTTCTTGCAGGAACTGTTCAATCAGATCCGCAAAGTCCTCGGATTTTTGATTGATCCAGTCGACGGCAATATCGTTAACAATCTGACTGGCTAACTCGCTGTGCTCTTCATCATTCAACAAACCAGTGATTTTAAACTATAAACAAATAATTAACAAACACTTTACAAATACTACACCAGAATATCATATTATTCTTACATTAATATCTCCTAGAGTTGGCAAAAGGCGCAGTTTAGATAAAGTGATACGATTGAGCAGGATTTTGGCATCTGCAGCAATTCCAAGATGGCGCAACTCCATATAGATCTCACCTTCACCGAAAATATTAATACCCGAAACGGACAAGTCCGCAATATAACCAGTATTGATCACAAACTTAGGTAAATCAATGTTTGCAACCAAAGAACCACCAATTCCACCGATAATATTCACATCTATCTTAAGATCCGATAGATCCCAATCGGTAATACCACTAATCGAAGCTGTATTAAGCGTAACATGTCCCCTAAATACAAAATAAAACAAATTGAAAAAAAAAATCACAATAAAAATTATTCAATAAAAAAACTTACACTGCATTATTAATGTTAAATTCCGTAACATTCACAACAAGATGCTCAACTTCAAGTGGCTCGAATGACGGCAACCCAACTTCCTCGATGCCTGTTTTAAGCACGCCACGTACACATTCAAGCACTTCTGTAACTTCATCTTCCAAAATGCGCTGATTTCCAGCGAGTTTCGCCGATTTGCTGGCGGCAAAAAACGCCAACAAAGCGACAAAGATAAGGAAGTAATTATTATGCATGGTTAATCGACCTGCTTACGAATGAGGTGTAAATGCGTAGAAGGCGACAATTGATGAATATTTTTATATCTGATCCACGCGTTATCATCATAACTGGATAGATATTCTTTTAATAAACTCACACGATAAACATCAATTAAATGCCTCCGGATCAATCAGATAATAATGCTTTTAACACATTATAAAAATACACAGGTGCGCAAGGTGTTTTTAGCAATGTTGAAAACAAGTCTCCGATTGCATTTTGACCTCAATGATTTTATGAATATTGCAAGAATGTAATTCACATTCTGACACATGTCTATGAATGCGTCTTTTATGACTTTTTGTCTTGTTTAAAATGGTTGCGCGTTGCTGGTTGTGTCGGTAGTTACACACCATCTACACGCCAGCAACATGTCATCTTTATTCTTGGTTATGTTCTGTGGTACCCTGGCAGGCATTTTAGGTTATGTTGTTGAAAATCCCGCAACCAGTTTAGCTTCAGCGTATAATTCAAGTAAGTTTATGATTTGCGTGAAAAATGGTTATTTTTTGAGATATTTTAGAATCGATATTTGGTTCTGGGTTTCCTGGACAACTTCAGGAATACTTGGATTGTTTAATATCTGATTATCGTAATAATTTGAAAGATTTTGGTGTGGAAATTGATCCTTATAAAATGTCTGTTGATCAAACTAATTTTGACCTAGGAATTCTTAAGTAAAACATTTTTTTCGTTAAAATTTTAAAAATGATTTAATTATTGTTTTAACTCGTAATAGAGGATTGGTGCAGTTAAATGAATTACAACTTCAAGGATTGTCTAATGTAAAAGTCCAGGAAGCAAAATTAACACCACAAGTATTACCAGTTGGTGCAAGAATGCAAATCAAGATAGTTTGGCCAAATGTTAATTTATTCAGTGATTACAGCAGTAATGTGACGATTTTGGGTCGTCCTTTGAACGCAACTGGAAATTCAACTGGTGCTCTGAATGAGTTCG